TTTGGCATATAGTAACTGTACAGTAGATAATACTGCTGAAGAAACAGGTGAAAGGAAACAACATATCCTACAAATGACTACAAACAGAAACAAAGAATAATATAAAGCACAGGGGTAAAAAAGAATCCATTCTAATGACTTCTTAACAGAATAACCAGACTAAGCAGTGCTTACTGGAATTGCTTCCAAATATAAAGAGAGAGAGAAACCAGTCTTGAACTTAGTGTTAACAGCAGTATTAGTCTAGTAATTCTGAACTGTTTTCTGTAAACTGTAAGGCAGAACAACTGAGTAAAACATAATGATGCTTTTGGAAAGCAAGTTTTCTTAGAGCAAGAGCAGTATAGAGTGGAGAAGATGAGGAAGAACCCTGGGGTGCTGGATTTGAATTGAAGGTATTGGTATGAACTTGGGTTTTCTTTAAAAAAAACAACAACAACAACAACAAATTTCCCAGCCAAAATCTACCGCTGTTTTTGGATAGCCCAAGAGCTAAGGATAGTTTTTACATTTTTTAATGTAAAAAAAAAAAAAAAGACTTTATAATTTTTTAGATCATTGAAAACAGTTGATCAAAGAATCGACGATACTGCAGTCTTGATGATGAAGTAACTGGTTGGCTATAATGGCCATTCGACACATGCAAACATGTTATTAAGTTGTTGGTAAGTGTTCAGTCAGTTACAACTCATAGCAACACTGTATAGGGTTTGCCCAGTAAATACATATACAATCATAAAACCCCAAACCATTGTCATCGAGTTGATGCCAACTCACAGCAACCCCAGAGGACAGAGTAGAGCTGTCCTGTAGGGTATCTGAGACTGTATGTTCATGGAAGCAAGCAGCCACATCTTTCTTCCTCACCTCAAAACAACTGGTAAATTCAAACCACCCACCTTTTTATTAGCAACTGCCAAGTAATGTGCCATTAGCCACACATCATTAGGGCTCATTATATACATTCATACAAGGGGGCTTCCAAACGTTTGTGGAAATTTTCATTCTCTTTTAATTCCATTTGTTTTCCTCTTTTATTTTGATGAGAAGGTTCATTAATCTTATTTGAAGTTACCCTGTAATATATTATTTTCTTCCCAAGTTTAAAATAGTCTGCTCTATTTTTAAATCAACTTGACTTCCTCACTCTTCATTTACAATTCTGTAACTACACTGACCCCTCTTTTTCTTTGTAGTTTTCTTCATAGAATTGAAAACTCGGGTTTCCTATTTCAGTCCTTTAGGTTTGTTTTAGACTCCTGGTGTGGCACTGTAGGATCAGCAAAGGACTGCAAACCACAAGGTTGGCAGTTCAGACCCACCATCCGCTCCTTGGAAACCCTGTACAGGGTTGCTATGAGTCAGAATCGACTTGATGGCACCCAACAACAACATTTCTGGGTTGATTTCTTGGTGGTGCTGCCATGTATGTTACCTCAGGTTGTTGTATACACTTGTTGGTTCTCTGGGTGGGTTTTTTTTTGTAAAGTTAATCTGGTTTCTATAAATTCTTTAATTTCTATTTGTCTGGAAATGTCCTAATTTTGCTGTTGTATCTGAGGGACAGTTTTGCTAGATAAATCATTGTTGATCGGCAATTTTTTTTCTTTCAGAGTTTTATACAAGTCATTGCATTGCCTTCTTGTCTGCATGGTTTCTGCCGAGGAATCAGAGCTTAGTCTTATTTGTTCTTCTTTGTAGGTAACTTTTTGTTTTCCCTGAGCTGTTTTTTGTCTTTGGTTTTGGAAAGTTTGGTTATACTGTGTCTTGATGATTTTTGGGGGGGTCTATCCTGTTTAGGATTCATTCAGCTCCTTGTATGCTTCTCATCTTTAAGTAAATTTTTTCCTGACAACTTTTTAACCATGTTCTCTGTGCTTTTTTTTTGCCTCTTTCTGGAATTCAAATCACATGCAAGTATTCCTCTTGATTTCATCCCATAAAAATCTTAGGCTTTCTTCAGATTTTTGTCTTTATTTATTCTGATGGTACTTCTAGCAGCCTAGTGTTGACAGGTTTGTCTTCATGCTCACTAACTCAGCTGCCCATTGATTCAAATCTACTCCTTTGCCCTTTCAAAGCATTATCTATTTCTGAAATCTTAGTATTAATCTTCTGCTCTGCTTTTACAGTTTTTGTACTGTTTCTAATTTTTCATTTATTTTGTCTGTTTGGTCTTGTAGAGTTTCCCTGAATTCTTCTAAAGCTTTTTCTGTGTTCTCTTTGCTTTCATCTTTAGATTTTTCAATCTCTCTCTCAATCCATTTAAAGTACCTAGGTATTATTCTTTTGAACTCTTTATCAGGTAGGTCAATATGTTTTCTTCCTCAGAAATGTTTCCTGCCTCTGCATTTTGGTCATTTGTTTGAGCCACTCTGTCTTGTTTCTTCATGTGAACTAAGAATGTATCTTGTCTCTGAGACATTGTGCTCTTAGTGTATTTGTATTTAGTTGATGATTATACATTGATGTGTTTTTAGGCACTCACCACTTCCCTTCTGGTGTGTGTAACAGAGAACGGAAGTCTGTGCACAATGCTCTGTTTGCTGTTTGTGTAGTATACTTCAGGGGTAGGTTGGGCTGGTGTTGGCTGCTGTCTATCATTGGTCAGGTGGTATAGGTGTTGATAGTGACTCTTGTCCAGTAGGTGGGCTGTAGGTGGTGCTGTCGTGGCTGGGTTATATGGGCACAGTTGCTGTCTCCCATTTGTGTGGGATAAGAAGAAAGGGAGTGGGGGGAATACCAGAGGAAAAAACAAAAGAAACAACAGCAAAAAAGAAAATAATAAAAGGGAGGGGGGAATCAGTAGGTAGCAGCAAAAAGAAATAACTCAAAAGAGAAAAAAAAGAGAATTAAAAAAAAAAAACAGAAAAGAAAACACAATAAACAAAACTACGACATGGAAGAAGAAAAGAGAAAGCGATAAGAGAATAGTAAAGAAAAATCAAAGAGGGAACAGGAGAAGGGGGAGGAGAAAAAGTAGAAAATGGAAAGCAGAGGAAGAAAAGATAGAAAACAAGGAAAGGAAGAAAAGAAAAAAGGAAAACACTAGGGCAGAGTGGAGAGAACTTGGGGCAGGGTAACCTGTTACCAGCTGGCTACTCTCTGCCAGCCAAGGAGCTCTCTAGGTGACAGGAGGTGGGGTGAGAAGATGGAATGCTTGGCTCTAGGTGGAATTCCTGTGGACCTCGGTGTTGTCTGTGGTTAAGTCACATATTCTAGAAGCAATTTGTGTAAGTCCTAATGGTGGCTGAGGTCAGCATGACTGTTCCTTGAAGGAACTCTTTCAGGCCCAGAGGGCAGCTAGGGACAAGACAGCTGGTTATGAGAGTTTCTGTTCATCCAGAGCTAGCTGATGACTGGCAATGCACGTTCTTCTGGTCTGAAGAAGCAGAGCTTACCTGGCTCCAGACGACATGAAAGGGTGGTGCTCCTGGCATCAGACTCACAACAGCGTCGCACTGACCTCCAAGAGGAGGCTGTACAGGGGGTGGGCGATGGAGGGGGCTGGCCACACTCTGGTCACCAGGACAGTGTGAGGAACAAGGGAGAATCACATCTTTGTCTTCACCAGCTACCGGAGTGCATCTGTACCATCAGGTCAAGGTTTGGATCCAGTCTTGCTCAAAGAGTTCAAGATGGTTACACCCAGTCATGTAGCTGACATTCACCCATCAGTCCCCTCTCTTGCTGTCTTGTTTCGTTTCTTCTCCGAGTCAGTATTCAATCTACTTCTGTATCTTTCCTCTGAAGCTTCCAGTTCCAGGAATATCATCTGTATCTGTTTCATCTGGTCTCTTGTATCTTCATTGTAGAAGACATGTGTAGTGTGTCTGCCTAGTCTGCCATCTTGCCAGAAGTCTTTCAATTCCATTTTATCACAAACTTTTTGAAGCCCCTTGTATATAACCAAACCAAACCTTTTGTCATTGAGGTGACCCCAATGTATAGCAACCTAACAGGGCATAGTAGCTAAGGAGCTCTGGTAGCATAGTGGTTCGAGTCAGGCTATTAACCTCAAGGTCAACAGTTTCAAACTACTAGTCATTCCACGGGAGAAAGATAAGGCTTTCTGCTTCTGTAAAGATTTACAGCCTCGAAAACCCTGTACAGGGTCACTATGAGTTGGAACCGACTCCACAGCACATCACAACCACTACCATGAATCAGAACCGACTCCATGGAATACCACCACCACCACCATATTGTATGTTTATGCAAATAGTGCATACACTTAGTCAGTTTTTGCAAACTTTGCAATTTCCTTGCACTTTTATTTTTTTATGCATGCTGTGCAATTATGTGCATGAGTGCATTTTCCATGTGGGCATATTAAATATGGAAAAAAATGCAGTATATGAGTATGAGACCCCTGGTGGCTCAGCTGCTAAACTACATGGCTGTGAACTGAGAAGTTGGTATTTCAAACCCACCATCTGTTCCGTGGGAGAAAGACGTGGCTGTCTGCTTCCACAAAGATTGCAGTCTTGGAAACTCTCTGGGACAGTTCTACTCTGTCCTATGGTGGTTGTTGATGGTTATGTGCCATGGAGTCAGTTCCCACTCAGAGTGACTCTGAATAGGGTTTCAGAGGCTGTAAATCTTCCTTCCAAGGATCCACTGGTGGATCGATCTTGCAATTAGTAATACAAAGCATAATTCACAACACTACCAGAGCTCCTAAAAGTACAGTTGTTGTTGTTGTTGTTATGTGCCGTGAGTCGGTTCTGACTCATAGCGACCCTGTACAGGGTTTCCGAGGCTGTAAATCTTTACAGGAGCAGAAAGCCTCATCTTTCTCCTGCAGAACAGCTGGTAGTTTCAAACTGCTGACCATGAGATTAGCAGCCTGATCCGTAACCACTACAACACCAGAGCTCCTTAAAAGTACAGTAAACATATGTAAGTAAATACAGACAGAGAGCCTCAGAAGTAGCAGGGTTTTAAGGCATCAAAGGTCAAATCAATCATTTTAGGTACTAATCCTCTCCTAGCATTACCTTGGTTGTATTTTCACCATTTCTTTCATACTGATTTCGCTGTTGAATTTTCTCAGCAATTTGTTGGGCAATGTGACAAGTAGAATCATATGTGGAGAACCTGCAGCAAAGTCACAAAGGGAGAAATAATTTTAAGGCTCTTTAAAAATATATATATACCTATGTTATCTAAGATTGAGTTACTCACTCTAGTCACAAAGCTGAATTTCTGAAGTTGTCAATAAAAGAGGACAATAATATGCACGACATGCATTGGATGGTACTTACCTAGTGCCAGGCACTACTCTGAATGCTTCATTTCAAGTAGCTCAATTGACACAAAGAACGCAATGAGGTGAGCACCATTCTAGTTCCATCTTGCCTGTGAGGAAAGGAGGCTCACTAGGCTTGAACCAAGGCTGTTTGACCCCAGAGCCTATTATTCGACCTATTACAAAGCAGTTATATTTATTTATTCATGAAAGAGTCAACCAACATTTATGGAGAGCCTCCTCTGTACTGAGCACTGTTTCTAAGCGCTGAAAAAAAACAGCTGTGAGCAAAACACACAAAAGCACTGCTTTCCATGAGCTTACATTTTAGCGAAGAGTGATGGGCATAAAAAAAATAAATGAACAAACAATGAAGACAGGGGAAGACATAGGGAGGTATGCGACGCCTAAATGGGATAGAGATAAATAGTGATTTATACACAACCTTGGAACAACAGTGTTCTATGACACAGGGATCAAGACATGGTCTGAATCGGTAAAGAAGGGGGAAAAATGTTTAGATGTTTGACTGTCTTATGGATATTGGTTTCCCCTACCTACTATTATAAAATAGACATTTAAATGTGATAGAAATTAATATTGGGAATTATGATTACAGAAAGCTTGTAAGCCTGCCTTCAGCCTATAACTGATTGGATTTGCTAAAGGGGGAATTAGAATTTGCCCAGGGACACCAGTTTCTTGTTAAGCCTTTGTAGAGTATGGGGCCTTAGATGGAATCCTGAGTCCCACCCAGAACCTTCTGAGTGGAACATTCCCACTTGAAAAGACATGCAGACCAACCCAGAACTGTTGGGAGAACAGAAGAATCTTATTGAAAGAAAGACTTGCAGAAAAAAAGCAGACTGTTTGGTTGTTAGAATATCAAGCAAACAGTTTGCTTTGGGGATAAGAAAAGTCAGTTCATCAGGGAAAAAAACCCTTCTAAGACCAAAACTCAAAGGGAACCAACAAGCAGTCTAGTATGCTCACTGGTGACCACCCTGGTCTACTTGTGAGTGGAAGTTGGGGAAATGCACCAATGAAGACATGGGATGACTTTGGCATGTTCCGTTGACACCCATTGACTTCGAGATGAGAGAGAGAGGAAAAAGGGCTGCTTGGTCTGAAGTTTAAGGAGATGTGTGAGCCCATGGAAAGATTCTTCATATTAAGAATCAAGCTTGTTTCCGCAGTGCACTGGGTTGAAAGGGATGGGCAATGCAGACATTGGTTATCAAAACTGGGAGGCTACAAAGGCACCAAGAGGCTTAGTTTCAGAACAAGGGAGGTAAGGTAGAATCCCCACTGAACAATTTTCCTCTTCTCCATATGGATCTGCTGAAAGAAGATGGTAAGGATGCTGATAGGCTTTTATGAGTCAATTGTGAGTAATTGTTAGGATTAACTGTGGTTGTCACAGCTTTAATTGTAGAAGATACATAACTAAAAGGGGAGAGTAGTTAATCTTTCATGTCAGGAGCAGACAATCCCAGATTCATTAAGAAGAAAGAGTCTGAGTGGAGCATGAGATCCTACCCAGAAAAGCAGTGACAGCACAGGCGGTGGCAGAGGTGATGGCATGGAGAGAGAGAGAGAGATAGAGCGCGAGCACGAGCAGCTGCGGGCTCTAGGCCCATGGACTGAGGAAGGCTGTGTGCCTGCAGGCAGGAGGCTGGCTAGCAGAATGTGCCCTTAGGATATTTAAATGAATATTATTTTTTCTTTTGTGTATGTACATCAAATAACTTTTGCTTTGTTCACTTGTGAAATATAAGCTGTAAAAGGGAAGCCACAGGGAAGAAGTAGGATCACTGTTGCTCCAGAGAGGGAATTGTAATCATTGAGATGAAGTAAAGTGTACAATTTGGTGAATGTAAAGCTGATGATCTTGTCTGCAAACCTTTACTCAATTCACTAAAAACAAAAACAAAAAAAAAAAAAAACCCTAGATAGTAAGCTTGGGGGGCAGGATCCCCAGGGAGAATAATTCAGAGAAGGGGGATTGAACATGTTCAAAATGCAGAATGCAAGTATTTCCAACCAGAAAAAAAGAAAAACAAAGATTAAATGGAATTTTAATAAGAAAAAAAAACAATTGTAATAAATACTCAGCTGCAAAATAAATAAATAATGAATGAATGAAAAGTATGTACAGAAAATAAAGTACGACAAAGGGACAGAGAGGGACAGGGGAGGCACTATGTAAGGGCAGGTGAGGACGTTAGTCACGTTAATAGTTCTGTAAGGGGTTAGGGGAATGAGTTTACAGCACAGAAAAGCAAGTACTGTTGATCCTAAAACAAAACACTGTGGGGCAAAGGACACACATCCAACTGACATCAAAGTTTCCCAGAATTTCATCAAAAATGTACTGAGCTCCTCTTAGTTATTCAACCATGCTGGGACTTTCTTGATTCACAATGCATTCCCAGCAGACCCTTATAGTCACTTCTGTTAGAATATTTTTACTTTCTATTTTATTTAGAAAAAACAAACAAACAAACACTAAAGTGTGAATATACTTTTCATGGCACTTTAGGATAAGCACTGGAATTCCAACCACAGGGTCAGCAGTTCTTAAGCCCACCAGCTGCTCTGTGGGAGAAAGATAGGCTTTCTGCCCTCGTTAAGATTGGCAGGTTTAGAAATTCTATACAGGGTCCCTATGAATTGGAACTGACTCAACAGCATTTGACAATGACAGACAGTCCACTCCTGGAATAGGAATTCTGCTGTCCTAATTTTTGCTTGAGCAAACAAACAAACCATTTTGGTTACGTCTTTGAGATCCCATGTGTCACTTTCACAATGAGCTGCTTATGTATCACTGTACACTGATGTGTCTTCGAATGAGGAGAAGCAATCTCTAGTTGGTACGCCTCATCTGGGCCGGGTGCAAGGCTGAGCTTTACCTTTTAAGCTTCCTAAGGATTTTATGTTGTTAGTTGCCACTGAGTTGATTCAGACTCATGGACACCCAATGTGTACAGCACAGAACTGCTCCATAGGGTTTTCAGAAGCATATCACCAGGTCTGTTTTCCAAGTTACCTCTGGGTGGGTTGAACCACCAACCTTTCAGTTAGTAGTCAAGTACTTAAACATCTGCACCACTCAGAGACGTCTATAACATGAGTGCTATTTTTTTATCCCTCTTTCACAAATGAGGTAAGTAAGGCTTCATAGGCATCTTACACAGTTTTAAAATTTTTAAAACACTTTTCCAATTTTAAAGTGATGAAGTCCATTTTAAATTCAAGAATCTGATTACAGAGCTACATGTATCTTAACCATATTCTGAACATACATTCTGAATGATGGCATTTAAGGTTTATAAATACGCCCACTGCTTGCCTGTCAGTTTGTCTGTGATGGCTTGTACGCTGCTGTGATGCTGGAAGGTACACCATTAGTACTTTAAACACCAGCAGGTTTACCCATGGTAGCCAGGTGTCAGCAGAGTTTTCAGACTAAGACAGTCTATGAAGAAGGAGAAGTGAACAACTTCTGAATAGTTAGCCACTAAAAACCTTACGAATGGCAGCGAAAGAGATAGAGCCAGAAGATTAGCCTTTTGGTTTGAAAGGCACCCAAAATATGACTGGGGAAGAGCTGTCTCCTCAAAGTAGAATCAACCTTAATGATGTGGATGGAACAAAGCTTTGGGGACTTTCATTTGCTAACGAGGCATGGCTCAAAAGAAAAAGAAAAAGCTGCAAATATCCATTAATAAATCAGAACACGTAATGTATGAAGCATTAATCTGGGAAATTAGGAAGTCATCAAAAATTAAATTGAATATATCAAGATCAATATCCTGGGCATTAGTGAGTTGAAATTAACTGGTATTGACCATTTTGAATCTGACAATCCTATGGTTTATGTGTTGAAGAGGAATGGTGTTGCATCATTGTCAGAAAGAACATTTCAAGATCTATCTTGAAATACAATGCTGTCTGTAATAGAATAATATCCATACATTTATAAGGAAAACCAGTTAATATTATTATTCAAATTTATCTACCAACCACTAAAGCCAATTTTGAAGAAGCCAAAGCATTCTATCAACTTCTTCAGTCTGCTATGGATCAAACATGCAATGAAAATGCACTGATAATTACTGGTGATTGGAAACAAAGAAGAGGGATCAGTGGTTGGAAAATATGACCTTGGTGACAGAAACAACACTGGAATTCCCATGACAAAATTTCACAAGACTAATTCATAGCAAATATCACATTTCAACAACATAAATGGTAACTATACATGTGGACCAGAGTCCTGGTGGGGTGCTGTGTGGGCTAATGCGTCAGACTGCAAAGCCATTTGAACTGCAAGGTTGGTGGTTCAAGTTCACCAGTGGCTCCTTGGAAACCCTATAAAGGGTCGCTATGGGTCGGAACTGACTCGATGGCACTTAACAACAACAACAACAATACATGTGGACCACACCAGATGGAATTGACTATATCAATCAAATTGACTATATCTTTGGGGAAAGATGGTGGAGAAGCTCAGTATCATCAAGGCCTGGAGCCAACTGTGAAACAGACCATCAATTATTCATATGCAAGTTCAGGCTGAAGCACAAGAAAATTCAAACAAGTCTACATGTGAGAACCAAAATATGACCTTGAGTTTATCCCATCTGAATGTAGAGACCATTTCAAGGATAAATTTGGTGCACTGAGCACTAATGACCAAAGACAGAGGAGTTGTGGGAACACATTAATAATATCATATATGAAGAAAGCAAAAGGTCATTAAAAAGACAGGGGAGAAAAAGAAAAGACCAAAATGGATGTCAGAAGAGACTCTAAAACTTACTCTTGAACACAGAAAAGCTAA